TCGTGATGCCTCGCATGCTGAGAGCACGTCCTTGGAAAATATTTGCAATTTTTGCAATAGAAACAGAAACATAGCAAATGCCAGAAAGGGCGCTTATGATGGATTACAAGCACAGGCAAAACGAATGAAATTAATATCAGATAGCACTCATCCAAAACCACAGATTGGATCAACTGTGAGGATTCCTGTTCCAGATGTCGATCGTGGCAGGGGAGATGCTCGGTCAGTTTTAGCAGTAGTGTTAGAAGGTACAAAACTAGGAGTCATTTCAAAATACTACAGTCGTTCAGAATTTAGTATATGTCCTGATAACATTTTGAAAATTGAAGAAATCACCAAAGATAAAGAAGTTTCTCTTAGATCGGTGGCTACAAGTCAATCTATTGGGCATGGGCAAGGTTTCAATAAATGTTACTGTAAGACTAAATGTCACTCAAACAAATGTGCTTGTCGAAAAAATAATGTATTATGTAACTCAAAATGTCACAATAGTCTAAGTTGTACAAATAAATAAAAAATGCATTTTTTTTTGTTTAAAATATTACAGTAATATGTATATCGTCTATTTGGAGATGGACCGTTTATAAATAGACTAGTCCTTTTTCAAACCGACTAGTCCGTTTATTAAAGAACAAGCTTCTTACACATATAGACTAATAATTTCAGTCCATTTACATATGGACTAGTCCTTTTGTATACGGTCTTGTTTACATATATGGTCTGTAACATATACATATATTTTCTATACATATATTCTGGATTAAGTGGAAGAGCAGTTGGTTGATAACCGAACTGAACTTCGTCCAGAAAATAAGTCTATTTTCTAAGAATGTATTATTATTTCTTTTCGTTTTTGCGACTTATTAATAAAAACATTTATTATTAAACATTATTATTAAATTCTGTGTATATCAAGAGTTTCAGCCGTTTGATCAGTGATTGAAATACAATATTCATTTAATAATAATCAAAATTAATACGTGAGAAATGTATTGCAAATTCCTCTAATAATTATGTAGATGAAATGATATATAATTTAAAGTACATACTTAAAAATTAATGTTAAAATTTGGGTCAATCAATATGAAAATGGTATTGACTCCGCCATCACTAGCAGTATATTATAAACCGTATTTATTCACAGTAATTGATTACAAAACGACCGATATTAATCCATTAACCATTGACGGGCCGGTTGGTGTACAAATTACAAAGCTCGCGCATTCATCACTCGATTTACGATTATGACCATTATAGCACTGTAAATCGCTACCTTAATATAGATAGCGAATGGATTTATGCTGCATTCGCACATAGGGGTCGCGATTAAATTGATCGGGCCGTAACTTGGACGTCGTTATTTTTTGTTGGGGTTCTTTTGTCCAGACGTTGTCTTGAGGTATCACATTTACGTTGTAGTCTCGGGGGCCAAATTGTTGGTCAGGCTCTTGCAATATAGCGCGGTAGCGAAAGATGATTTAGTTTCAGCATCGGCGAGCGCCCGCCGTTGATATGTCGCTTGTCCCCTTTTGATTTATGGCGAACCGCTAAACCACCGCCGACACACAAATCAAATATGTGATGTATCGATCCAAACACTATATCTTCATCAGGACGTCGCCTTTTTTTCCACTCTACATTATTCATAGGTTTTTCCCCGAGCTTAATGTAAAAAATTTCACAGGATCATCTTCAGCCAACGTTTTTAAAGATTTTTACGAGAATATCTTTAAACTAGAATTCGGCATAATATTATTGAATATCGTTCAATCGACAATAAAGGGTGAATCGATCAGAGGTCACACTCCGCCCTTTGCGTGTTCAACCCCAGCGACACGTGATTAGTGTGTGTGAATCCCTGTGTGATTGATCGGTCGAGTTTAATAACGCACCGACGATTTACTATTAATTCAAAAACGTTTTAGGGAGGATTTTGGGTATAAATCAGGGGAAAATATGACAATCGTTAAAGACGCCCACCTGGTCGACGCGAATCACCCATTACTTCTCGTTTTTATGTGCTAAAGATCGGCCAAAATCGCCCCCCGTGGCAATTTGACTCCTTGGGCAATATGTCACGGACCGCGGAAATGTCGCCGTAGCCCGAGGTGACGTCATTGATTGGTCGATCCGGTCGCCGCAACTGTAAATTATCTTGGTCGGAGTATTTCACCTCGGACGTGTGGTGATTAATGGCGGAGGAGGCGGCTGCAGTACGTCGTGGAACCGCTTTTCGGTCGATTGCAATGAGAAAACGACTTCAAAATGTCTCTTGAAACGACAATCATTTATCCTAGAGACGTGCTTCGTTATTAAATTTTTATTTATTTTTATAACCTTCAAAAACAATTTACTTGCTTCATTAAATTCAGGATAAAAATTATTTAATCGGATTTAAAAATCCATTTTGATTTCGACGTTGAATGCGTTACGTAAAGTTACTTTCGAAGAAGCTATCTGTAAACTCCTTTCAGAAGCCATTCGTTGCAACCGGTATAAATTAAATTATCCCCACGTAAGCAAAGGGAGTGCCCAGTAAAGCTGTCGCAAGATATCGGACGTTCGGTGGTAGGAAGGGCTTCTTACTTTAAGGGTCGATACGTATCTGCTTTTATTGCAGCAGGTACACTTTTTTGCTCGTACCCTTTCTGTAAGAGCCAAGTAGCATAGGGGTACAGGAACGTACGCCCTTGAGTGCTTCTAAAATAGCTTTTCCTTTGGCGTTAAAACGTTCCACTCGTAAATATCTGACACACATACGGGTATCTTTAAAGACACTTTTTTTTCGACGAGACGTAAATCAAGTATGTCCACGTGATAATTCACTTTACCAGGAACTAAATGAATTGCCGAAGCTAACCCGAGGGAAAAGAGAGAGAAGAAACGCTCGGAATTCCATCTGGGAAACTCTTCCCTCAGGCCGAAAATGTACCTCAAGGATAGAGTTGTTCGTCGGATACTTCCCTACATCAATTGGCACGCATCGCTGATTTTCAGACATCCAGTCGGGACGTGTTCGAAATCTATCAGTAGATGCCTTTACTATATTCGTCTTCCATTTCTGACGTCAGCAAAAATTAAGGTTTCCACCACGATCACCTTTAATTTAATGTAGTGCAAAGGGTTACGAACCGTACACACTCACGTATATGATCGGATAAGAAAGGTACATAGAGAACTTTGGTCAATTAGGCAGAAATCTCACGATATCTAGCGACCCACGTACAATTCTGTGGCCAGTTTCAGTTAAATTTACAAACGTTTATCTGTTAAATAGTGCAAATGTACCATTTAATCGCTAGATAAAATTTAATAACCCCTCCTACAATACATCGAGGGGTTATAGAACCCTCTTTTATATACCAATTAATTTTCCACACAACGTCACGTCACGTTATTTCCTAGGAAGTTCAACATCACCCATTTTAACTAGTTAATCTCGACAAACCAATTTTAATAGTAATTAAGGAGACCTTTATTAAAGCTTAATTAATTTGAAGGGCAAAAGTTTAAATATCTATAAACTACAAAAGTAGTACTGCATAAACGAACTCAATTTCGAAACAATAACGAATTTATTATTGAAATAATTGTTCCGGTTATTTCCACGTTGATTAAAATATTCGTTTCACGAATTATTGTTAATTAGTTGTAATAATTTTGTGTTTATTCGATATTTTATAATTTAATTCAGTTATGGGATAATCATGATATTTATATACTCGTATGATAATATATATTTGGAATTTAACTCGCCCAATAAAAAATTTATACGAGAAATTCACTTTAATTTTCTTTCAAGTGTTTTCAAAACTTTTCAATTTTAACCTGAATGATATTTCGAATAATAATGAATTATCTTATTAACAAGGAATATTTTTAATTTATTATGCAATTGATATCACATAATAAGATAATAAGTTTAACAACATATATTGGAGCACCTCAGTAGCAAATGAGCTAGGATGAGAAATACAAAAAGCCACATTTATGGCATATAACTCAGCACAATGTTCATAACATAGTCAAGGCAAGGCATGAATGTCCCCTTCTCATCCTAAATGACCTCCAAATACTCTTCAGTCTCAGCGTCGTATTTATTATAGGGTCTCCTTTTTTGAAATTGCCAACCCATTCTTACTTAGCCATTTTCAATCCTACACATTGTCCCAAATCTAATCTCTCCCCAACTCTGCCCTACTATTTCCTCTTATCAAAAAGTTTAATCATTTTAGAATCTTAGCCCGAAAGCAGAACCTTATCTACTTCTTCACATACCCAACATTAATTCTTAACTCAACCCATCTTACCGTAAAATAGTTTTAGTTCTAATTTTAGTTCACGTAAAGAGTTGCTGAAATGAAAACGTTGCCAACTGTCCTGGGTAAGACTAGAAGAGAGCTGATAAGAAATATAGACATCAAGAAAAGATATTATTAAGTATTTCGAGACAGCTGGAAGTTCAAATTACAAAACACTTCGGGTACGAATTCAAAGTTCAACAAACCAAAAGGTCTAAAACAACTAGTCTTATTATAAGGAATATATCAATAGCGAATTAGATTTATAAAGTTGCATGTAACATTAATAAGAGTATATAAATATGTTCTCTTTTTATTCAAACATAATTTCCTGAATTCCAAAACGTACTTTATTTTAATAATATCCAAACACATTTACATTTTCGAAACACGAGTAGTGAAGCAAAATACTAACATAATTTCCTAACTTTCAAATAAATTTCATTTTCCTTTAACAACTCGTCGTTATTTAGTATGGCAGTAAATGCCAGCTTGTCGACCATTTAATCTAATTCACTCGCAACACGACACTTCTAGAAACCATTAGAAATGATTTAAACTTTCGTCTTTTAATTTTCCTATTTTATTACAAGTTGCGAGCGAAACCGAGTTAATGTAATAACGGAGTCGCGTCGTTTACGTTAATTTTAAACGGTTTCAACGTGTGTTTGACCGAATGGTTTCCGTAATCGAAACATCTGTTGCAGCTATTAAAACGGTCATCCTCGGCGTTCGCCGATTGAATAGAAACGCGACGGAAACGCGATACGGGTCCCATTAATGCTATCTAATTTGACGCATCTTCGCCTATAATAAACATCAACGTTATACGTTATAAACCGAACCTGATGTAAATGACCTAACGCGTCTATAGCTGACCGGGAGATAAACCGGTCCCAATTATCACCGATATTGCTGATACCAGAAGCTGTTACACCATCTATTTACTGTATGTAAACGCTCCAATACACTATATTTAAGCTAAAACATATATTTCCGAATAAATCGTGTGTATTCGATGTATTTAATGATAAAGTGGGGTTAAAGTTCATTATTTGAGTTATATTCGCTGGATACCATGGAGTTAAAACGTGTATTTTTGATATTAATACTTATTTATTTTGGGATTTGTGAAGAAATTGGTGAAAATTTGAATGAAAATGAATTAATTTTGGTTGAAATTGTAAGTTTTTTTTTGGGTTATTCATAAATTATTTTTTTTAATTAAGTTGTTTAGACATGGAGCCAGAACAACATATAAATTTTATCCAACTGATCCTCATCGAAACAAATCATTTTATCCTTATGGATTAGGAGGTTTAACTAATGTAATAAATATATAAAATTAATTAAATCATTTAATTAAAATAATTTTTGTAGGAAGGAAAATTAGGGGTTTACAATCTTGGGTTGGCTTTAAAAAGCACTTATGATTCATTTTTAGGGAATTTTTATCACGAGGATTTAATCGAATTAAGAAGTACTCACTTTACAAGGACTCAATCGAGTGGATTATTAGTTTTAGCAGGGATGTTTCCTCCTAACTCAGAGGAGAAATGGCACCCAACCTTAAATTGGCAACCAATTCCTATCGTGGTAAAACCTAAAGACGAGGAAGATGTAAATTTTTATTATCTTTCATTAAATTTTTAGTATAATTTTTTAATTTTAAGCTTTTAAGTGCAACAGTTTGCCCTTATAAATCGAAAATGTGGAATAATCTCCCATCTATACAAGAAGTTCAAGAAAAATTTATTACCCCTTATATGGAAACATTCAAATATATCGAAAAGCACTCAAAATTTCAAATAAGAAATCCCCACGATGCTATAGAAATGTATTTTATACTTTCAACAGAATCGGAACAAAATCTCACATTGCCCGATTGGACGAAGTCGATTTATCCAGAACCACTCACATCAATAGCATCTCAAGTGTACGGTTATTGGAGTTATGGGGAGGATTTAAAAAAAATTAATATCGGTTATTTTTTAAAAAAGATTCTCAACGATTTCGACCAAAAAATTAATGCTACTTTGAAACCAAAATCAAGAAAGATGTTTTTATACTCGGGTCACGAATCAACGTTAGGTTATGCGTTGGATGGTTTAAATCTTTTCGATTCCAAACCTTATATCCCTCCCTATGCAAGTGCAATTATCTTTGAATTAACAAAAAATAATAAAGGAAATCATTTCGTTTCTGTGAGTATCTTAAAATAATTTTAAATGATTTTTTTTATTAATGATTTATTTTTTTAGGTGAAGTATTTAAATGATGAAATTAAAACTTTAAAGATCCCTAATTGTGGGATTAATTGCCCGATTGAGAAGTTTAAGGAATTATACAAAGATTTAATTCCCGATATTGATTTCAAAACGATGTGTAATAAAGATGTATTTACTTAAAAATCGATATCATATCAAGAATAGCATTTCCATATGGACATCTTGGATAAAGCGAAACGCAATCAACTCCGTAATAACCAGCTTGTTGAGCGTTGACGTATTCTTGGTCTAAATCAGGATCAACTTCTCCATCACCGTAATCGGGACTAAAAATAAATTAAAAATTAAATTAAATAAATTTCTTTTGATTACTTACGATAAAAAAATGTGTAAAAGCCTCCCATATAGTCCATTAGCGTTATGATTTAATGGATGGACTGCGTTATCGCAGATACTTCTTAGAAGGCATTGATGTCCGTCGAATCCATATCTATAAAACAAAAGTATTCAATATAAAATTTGTATGAAATTCTATATCAATAACGTCCTTTAAATCCAAAGGAAAATATCGACGGACGTAAAGCAAACGGGAAAACTTTATCCGATTACTTTATTGAAAATACGCAAGAAAATATATCGCGGATTATATTTCCGTACTTATCTAATATGGATTCCAAACCCAAATACGCCGCCATTCGGTCACTGATCCTATCTCCCTTTTCAAGGGATCTCTTCTCTTGAGATCGCGTTATTATCGGTGGCCACGTTTGCAACTGCGTAATGTTCTGGGCTTGCGGATATTGAAATTGCAAATTTAATGCGCACGCCATCGATTGCTTTAATCCCAAAGGTACGGGCCAAGATACACCTACAACAATCTAACCCAAAAAATAAGAAACTAAAAGGATATTAAAAAACTTTTTTACCTTTACTTGTCCCCCCAATGGATACACTAAATATCGCTTAGATCTCGTTAATAACTTATTCGATTCCTCCCCATTAACACGAATTATTAAAAAAATTGTTAGTAACTTGGATAAATGAAACATCGTGTAAGTTTTGTTACTATTTAAAGTATCATTTTAGATGCACACGAAACGTTAAGAATAACGGTGCTTATTAACAAATAGGTGTGAAATTTTTAAATGTATACATAACTCATTTTATGTTTGTATTTTTCGGTTTATGCTTCGATTACTTGCAGGATTTGACCTCAATTGCCCTTTCACAGGAAATAAAAAACTTGACATGGCGTAGCCTTAATGGAGTAGAATTTAAGGGAATACAAAAGAAACGCGAATAATATCGTGTACATCCATCTGGCAACGCCATCTGAAAACCATTATCCCGTCCTGGAATCATTCTTCTTCTTGACAAAAGTCGTTTTCGCGTGACGGTTTCGAAAGCAGTTCCGGTGTTTCCGTTTGATTCGAGGACGGAATAATTAAAGTCGCGTCTTTAAACATCGTTCGGAATTAATTATAATTGTTTGGGTTCGCAGTCTGTTTGAGGTTAAACGAACGCCATAAATTATGGGAAAGCTGTTGCCTTCCGAAACCAACGGTACGAAGCTTTCGGGTTGCTTTTGGGGGCTCGACAAGAAATTCTATGTAAGGGTTGACAGGGTGTCCAAAAGGATTTATCTTCGCCGAATCCTTCCAAATACAGTTCGCATAAACAAAATTAACCGTCAATAGATAACGAGTTGCGTCGATGGAAAAAATCGAAAAACGAAATTTACGGCCTCTTTACAATCTACGCGAAACGGGAGGGAACAAAAAACGGAGACTCAGATAAAGCCGGCGGGTTCCATTTCCGGTATCCCTCCTGCGCGACAATAGAGGCGTAAAGTTACCGGTGCCCCTGACAGACGTTTAATCATAGCGCCCCCGTGACGTATCCACTAAAACTTCCTCAACGCGAAACGTACCGCAAAAAGGAGGGGAACTACAAGTTACGACTCTTTAGGATTGTGTGTCGGGAAAACTAACACGAACCCTTTTCCAACGAGAAAAGAAACGTGTTTTCTCGGTTAAATCCACCAACTACCTCTACAATACCACGACTGCATCTTAAAGTATTGACCCGAAGAAAATCCAGTAACAAAGATAACAAAGGAAACGCCCAATTTTTCTAACGGTCAATTTGAAGAGACACTCTTCCACCTTTTTCCTAGGAATATAAATAGTTTCACTTAGTTTACGGGACAAAGGAAATGCAGCGATTTCCCCGAACAAAGATATCTATCATCGTCCCATCTCGAAACTATACCTACAACGACAATTACATTTAGACGTGGTCCTATACTCCACCGTTCCACGTCCGTCCTTGATTGCGTTCATTAGGCGAAGGACATAATCATCTAAAACCCTTATTGGTACACGTCCGCACGCACTCACCCGAATAATAATCTCGCGAAATACAAAAAAGACACTATTAGGTGGCTCGTACAAAGCAATTACTTCAAAGCCGGAAAATCGCTTCGAGACACGATTGGCACGTATACCGCTTCCCTTTTAACTTTTACGGTATTAAAGTGGCCACTTCAATTGTCCCCGACCATTGTAATTGCCCTCACGTCGACTCGCCATCGCGTGGAAATGTAAATACCCATTTAATCTGCATCGAAACAACTTGCTGGTGTACTATTTTAATAACTACAGGCTCAATTTTAACCATATTTGTTTCATAAGAATTAAAATGTGAAATTTAATACAAAAATTACTTAATCGATTACAATCTTCTAGAGTGAACCTTAGTTTTGTGAAGAGGTTATGAATTTAGAACTACTTTCAAAAATACACTGAAGTCAACTCCAGAACAAAAGCTTTAAAAAGAGAAGATTGGAGTAAATTCATCACCGATATGGACTATGACTTGTATGGAACCAGTATGTGCAAACACACTGAAATAACAACACACATTATTGAAACTGTGTGCACAAGAACTATTACCGAGATAGAGGAAGTCAAAAAAAATTGGAAAACTAAAAACTTTAAAACTAAAAAGAAAATTGCTCAAATATACAAGTTCTAACGAACGAGCGAAGATCAGAACATGGAATTTCAGACTTGACAATCTTAGACTTGTTGGGAATGGCTAACAATTAATTTTGATGATGTCAAAATCTTTGTGGCTACTTCAACTTTTACTGTATATATAATAGTATATATAAACTAATGTGGTTTGATTGCCCTACTATGTTAATAAATCTTATCAACTTCGTAGAAAACAACTTTTCCTTAGCATAAAACATGAAGCTTTATTCAAGATGAAAAATTAATGAATGACGTGTAAATTATACCCACCATGACCTTTCAGATAGATTAATCTATAAACGAACTCATAAATTAACCTATAAATGAATCAAAAACATTCTTAACAAATGCAATTTATGGCCGGTTGAAACGCATTTTCGCTTAATGTTTACAACACGCATACTTGTAAGTTAAAGATAACGTCTTTCAATGTTTTCTTGCGTGATTTAACTTTACAGTTATATTTGACAAAGTGTAGTTGTTCACAAGTACTATGAAAATCCTTAAACATCTTGGAAACTTAAACGAACTTCACCCACGAAAATTATGAACCATTAATTTACATTGTGGAAAGTCGAGAAACGGCTCCTTTTGCACCAGATTTAGCACATCTCGAGCAATATATAGCAAAGGCCTATAAAAACGCGAGGGTAAAGCAAGGTGTGACGCATATAAAGTTTTTATTGTTATTTCGGTGTTGGAGGCGACACGACTTTTACGGCTTAATATTTCATCCGGCGGTAGGGCGAAAGAGTAACCTATAAGGGATCCACGGGGTGGCGAAATACATTTCGAAACAATTTGGATATTGCCCGTAAATAAAATCGGAAAAAAGAAAATACAATTTCTGCTTAGCTATCATTAGAGTTGGGGAAATTTTCAGGGTAAAACGAACTGTTCTCACATTCTAGTAATTAATATTCACCGTGAATTTTAACCATTCATCACGAACCCGGCGGCAATTATCGGAATTATTGTCCGGGCACAGCCAGAATCCTGTCAATATTCGCACCGTAAATCACCACCTCTCTGTATACCATAGAAAAATCGATCGAAACGGTCACAAAAAAATATACAAACAACATGCCATACAGATACTAGATTGGAAATGCGAATTGAAATTACATTTAAGAGGACACTTCAATCGCGCTTATTGCTGATTATCGATAATTGCCTTACTGTTTAATATCGCTGTTATCGAGGGTACTTTGTCAATTAAGGGAGCAACAAATTACGAGTCTCTGCTAATTACGGGAAACGGCTAGAATACGCGAGCGGCGGATTATAAAAAAAAAGGCTCGACCCTAATTTGAATACAAACGGGATTAGAACCGACGGCCCGGGCGAAAATAATTAATTAATTAATTAAAGAAGAGCTGGCGTCGCGGGGTCAGCTCACAATTTAATTATCTAGCTTCAGTTAAAATCTGCGTCGCGACGCTCTTTACGTTAAGTAGGTAGATGCGGTAAAAATAAAACGTTTTCTAGCCGCCGCAGCGCTCTATATTATCCACAAGCAAAATTTTCGCACCATTTTATATTATTTTATGCTCATCCCTATTATTATTTCGACGTAAGCCGACAACCCGGCGCGAAAACAACTTTTATTTTTATTTCATTTACTCGTTAAAGCCGTTTTTATGCAAGCATAAAAAAAACCTTTTGAAAATCAAACATACAAACATTCGAAATGTTTGATTTCGACCACATTCGGCACAAACTATAAGCAACACGGGACTGATTTAATAAACAAACTTCAGCACCGTTCGGTATTTCAAAATTACCGCAGTCGGGGGCGAGTTTTAATTGAATTAGGCGCGCTTGTGATCATAGAGTAGGTTTCGTTAGAAGTAGGAATCAAAAGTTTCAGGAAATGCGACATTTATAACTGAATGAAAATTGTATTCATACCGTTTTGTTGTAAAAATTTCATTAAAAAATAATGATGAAAATATGGTAATTTTTATGTAATAAATGTTTAAAATATTAATGAATAATTATCATTTGGTTTCGGTGGAGCACTTTCAGCACATCGAACGATTTTCAATACATCACCATGCTACGATTTACGATGTAATAATCCAGAATAAATTGCTTACTTTATAGCTATAAATCATCTCCGTGGGGGGTTGATTCATAATTTTTTCTTTGCACCATAGCGTTGTAAATTCTTTTTTGAACATTTCAGATTTACATTTCAAGATTAAATGATAATCTTGCGATTATATTCTAGGGTTACATCTTTTGACAAATTACGTATACAAAGCAGTGTTAAAACGGCAAGAATCCCGGCAAGTTAGATTACACTTTTGACGCAATCTCCAAGGAATCTTAATGTACATCTAAACCGGGGGCGTCGCGGCACGTCCCCAACGGGGGAACGACTTTAAACGTCAACCATAAAATCCGGGTGTAATCCCGCTAAAGCAGTAGTAGTAACGCGATACCGTCCAAACAGTATCAATTTCCAGGCTTTTCTCGCACCTGTCCGTTGCCGCTTACTCGATAATAGATTATCGATTAAACTGACGTGGTTGCTCCTCGCTCGCTTAACTTCACCTCCTTCGGTTCCTTCTCCCACGATACAAAAAAATCGATGTATATGCTTGAGAACAACGACGCCCTGTTGTTGCTTGGTCGTCGTTATAGCACGTGACGAAACCCGGAATGCACCACAGAAGCTGATGATGTAGTTCCGGGCTTGACGCCTCGTGACGAATTGCCTCTCATTATTCGTGCGTCTCGACGGGTTTTCCAAAAGTATGTACTTAGCAATCTACGCGTTACAACGGCGGAGATACTTGAAAAGATACTAAAAAAGGTATTGTGTTAACAGCGAGCTCTAGATATCAACTCAAATATGTCAAAATCTTTTTTTCATTTTGGCGGAGGTGCCGGGCAATTAACTTTTTTATTTAATTTCTACAAAAAAGTTTTAAAGCAAAAGTTGTGGTAAATTTTATTCTAAACAATATTGTTCTGTTTCAATATTGCACTCAAAGCTATAGATATTGAGAAAAATACGAAAATATGATAATTAGATAAATTGGTGTAGATAAAAATGTTAACCAAGGTTTTCCAAAAGTATATATTTAGTAATCTACGCGTTATGACGGCGGAGATACTTGAAAAGATACTAAAGAAGGTATTGTGTTAACAGCGAGCTCGTAGATATCAACTCAAATATGTCAAAATCTCTTTTTTGTTTTGGTGGAGGTGCCGGGTAATCAACTTTTTTATTTAATTTCTACAAAAAAGTTTTAAAGCAAAAGTTGTGGTAAATTTTACTCTAAACAGTATTGTTCTGTTTCAATATTGCACTCAAAGCTATAAATGTCGAGAAAAATACGAAAATATGAAAATTAGATAAATTGGTGTAGATAAAAATGTTAATGGTGACACTCGGGACTGTCTAAATGTTTATTTTATTAAACTAAGAGAAAGAAAATGCCTTAAATACATAATATACATGTTACTTGACTTGGCACAGTTTGCTCGTGAGACTTCGACCGAGGGCGGATCTTCATCAATCAACACCCCGGTGTTTTATCAGCGCACTGTGTCAACGTCTCGAGCGTTATGACGTTATGGCGCTTATGCCTTAACTCAACACCGCGTCACCCTCTACATTATTAACCTCGTTTGCATGTACCAAGGGGTCGCAGAACCATCGTCGTCCGACGGGATGTCGTAATACGTTTGCGCCTCGAGGCGTGAAGATGGCGAAAAATTTCGTTATCTCCGCGGTCTTTGTCAATATTTGTGGGCGGAATTACCGTTCCATCCCTGTTAAATCAAGGCGCGACAATCGTTGGAATCGAGTGGCGCCTTTCAGCACGCCCGTTCACGCCTCCCGTAACAAATGCCAGCAATTAGCGGAAAATAGCCGATGCAAATAACAAATTGCAATCCGACTATTGTCCCCAATGACAATGAGACGTAATTTGCGAGTGGTAATTGTCCGACCCGTCCCATATGTCCCTATCCTGTCACTGACCAGAACGGTGTGGCAGAAACCTAAATAGCATATCCACGTCTCATCTTCTGCGTTTACATTAATTACTGGTTTGTATCGTTTTATACAACATCATAAATTAATTTTATTTTAAATTGTAAAATTAAAAATGTGAACTATACATACACATATACCTAGAACAAGAATCATTTAGGTTTAGCCGCATATCTCTAAAGACGGCTAAACTCGCTGACACAAGATCTAGAACTAGAATCATTCGGGTTTAGCCATCTTGAGAGACGTGCGACTAAACCCGAATGATTCTAATTTCATTTCTTATTCAGCGCTAGATTGTTGTATATTTTTATTGAGCTATAACAGACACTGCGTTCCCCGTATTGATCCGTTATATCGAGGTTTTACTGTAATATCAAATTATATTAACATGTTGCATTTTATGTGGGACAAAGTAAGTAGGTACGCCCTGGCTTCTATAGAAATATATTTTTGTATATTGCATCTTAAGTGAAATTCACTGTATTTAATACTTGTATATCTCAGATGGCAAAATGTGCCATGTCAGCTAATCTACTAATAACTTCGATCAATACTAACCAAGCATGCTAAGTAAGTCGAGTGAAGACGCTTCCCAAGAGGTACCGAAAATCGCTGACGTTTAAATTCCAGTGGACATCATGTGACAACATTTATATTGACCGTTTCCTCTGAACCTAATAATACTAGTCGTACAACGTTCGTGTTTTTTATTAAATAGATTGACTATTTTTATGTATTGCTGAATAATTTTTTAATTTTAAACAACTTAATTACTCTACGCATAGTAATTACATGTCTACATACTAATCGATACATGTACCCTAGATCCGATGCAAATATTCTTATTACATTGTGCCGCCATGCTGCTATACAATGTCGACGTTGTCTACACATATTTGACGTTTGCATAGCAAACAGTGGTGTTCGAGGATCGTCTAGCGAGCTATATTCGCTGGATTTTGGCAGAGAAGGGAGCGAAGCGAGAAGTTTCCTGTTGAGATCTAACTTTCAAATGAAATGACATCGCGAAAAAATGTCGAAACTGCCCGTGTTAGCTCACGATGTACATTTCGCAGTATTTTTTTTGAAACACACAGTTTCTGTCGAGTAATTATTGTAATTACGTTCTCGTGTCGTTGCTTTAACGAAGAGTTCTCTTGATGTAATAACGTATTTCGAGTGCTGTTAAGATTTTGAAGTGGCCTCTTCAATCTCCATTATAGATATGGAAAGCCTGCCTTAGTATTACCTTCATAAACTAACAAAAATATGGCGAAACGGACAAAACACTCTGCATATATCGACAATAAATGTAAATTTAGGGAAATAATCCAGGGCGGTTTTGTGAATTTTCAAAAATGTCGACATCGAGTCGTAAAAACCGCGAGATGAGTGGTAATTTTCAATCGATATTTTGCATGAAATCATCCGACCGACCGTTCTGCACCCATTAATATTTCCTCTATGCGATAATATTGGCTTCCAGGTACCGTTTTATTCGAAATTTTCAGTTTCCCGTTAAGCGCGAAAACAATGCAGAATATTTCCACAATTTCCGAACGGCTGGTGAAAAATTTCGTAATATTCTATTAAAATAGGACCGCTTTTTACCGTTTTACACATTTTCATACGCGGCAGAGCTCACACCAACCGAATCGCAACATGTGTCAAGCGCGAGACACTTGAACCGGACGATAAAATTTAGCTACAAACCATATATGGACACCATCTGTTGCAACCGGAATTAATTCAACACTCGCGTCCGTCCAAATATGGTCGTATTAAGCCATGCGAATACTACCAACTCATTTATCACGCTTTATCATAATATCAGAGGATCAATTTACATCATATGGATGACTTAATCTGAAATAAAAAAATTTTATTCTATTGATATATTCAATATAGTAGAAATATAAAATTTTTCAAACTAAAATTTTCTCTTTGAACTTGCATTGCGTAAAACCTACTTTACCCACCTCTTTGAGTGTCGGAAAATGCACGAGCTTTACAGGCGTCTGTGGAAAACGCGATC